TAGCAGCAATAGCTAGCAGCAATAGCTAGCAGCAATAGCTAGCAGCAGCAGCAGTAGGAGGAGTAGCAGCAGCAGCAGCAGTAGCAGCAGCAGCAGCAGTAGGAGTAGGAGTAGCAGTAGCAGTAGCAGTAGCAGTAGTAGTAGTAGTAGTAATACGAAAAATTGACCTGGTTGTGGGCTTGGATTAACAGGGGGGGGGTTCTGATGCCCAACTAGAAAATTAGGGGGGGAAATAGGCACGAATAATGCTTTTAATTTGGGCAATTTTTGGTGGGCTTGTGTCTTCGGATTAACTAGGGGAGGTTTATTAATCGTAATTTTGCATTATGTATTTTAGATTGTCTCTTTAAATTTCCATCTAATTTCCTTATTTGTAAATTTATGTGTACATTTCCTTATATATTTCCAGTTGATTTGCCTTTAGAGTTTATTTATATAGTTCAAATTTGCTTTCAGATTTCCTTTTAAACTTCCTGTTGAGTTTATGTTCTCTTAGATTGTCCTTTGACATGTTCCTTTTAAATGTCCTTCGAAGTTTCCTTCTAAATGTTCATTTAACCGTGCGTTCAAGTGTCCTTTCAAATGTCCTCTAAATTTCCTTCCAAATAAGTTCCGTTTTCATTTTCATCGATAGATAGTTTGCTTGCAAACTTGCTTGCTTGCTTGGTCGGTCGGTCGGTTGGGCTGGTTGGTTGCTCGACTGATGTGCTCCCCTCACAGCTTAAAAGCGCGGGACGGCACAGCGCCTCCCGCAATGCAAACGAGTAACAACTGCATTCTGACAGGTATTCCTTGGGCAAAGTTGGTTGGTGGTACGGTAACTTGATGCGGCAAAAAATCAAGAAACCCTCTTCCTTCCTTCCTTCCTTCCTTCCTTCCGTCCGTCCCACAGCTAAGCCTTAAAAACATGTCCCACTGAAAGAGACAAATATATCCCACTAAAATATACACCCCTTGGAAGATCGTACATAGCTGCGCCAATAGAGCTGTGATTGAGTGGCTGTAATTATTTTGTGTTCTGAACAGTTTCTTCAGGAAAAGAAGGTTCAAGGACCGACCCAATTGATCAAGGGCAGAGTTGATAAAAGCTTGAGCATTGAATTGACTACCATTCAGCAAATGTTTGTTCATCTCAAGCTTTTTGGAGGAACCGTGTATCGCTTTTTCAGAATCCTACGCCCAGGTGGGTCCTGCTTCACTGTTTGAACTGCAGCACTTGATTGTTTCTCAGGCTATGATAGGATCAAAGACACTTGCCTCTTGCTTGATGGATGTTGGGGTCCCGGTGTGCCGCTCTCTTGGATGCTTTGATCCACAGCCTCAGCTTGTGTTCATTTGCCGAGGAGTTTCCCAGACAAACATTCCTGCACATGCGAATGCCCAAAGTCTCCAAACCCCTGCATCAGGCGGAAATGTATGCCCACATGAGCATCAAGGGGCCACAGAGTCTTTCGACAAGACCAGTTGCTGCTGCTTTTGGCCGGTTTGATTTGACAGAGTCTTGTGGCACCTCTAGGACTGTTCATGACCGTTCCAGGCGCTTGTCGTTGTTTTTATTCCATTTAGAGAAATGACATTAAATAACAAACACTACAACAGTCATTACCAAGGTATGGTCATCGATCGCGGGCTCGCGTTACACAAGATGATCAGCAGTGTCCTGAGCTGTTTGAACGAGTGGAACTTGACATTCTTTTCATCGATATTGCCCAGATTGCCAGTTTCTATATAATTAAAATACAATCTCAATGCTTGGCATAGGGCTGGTCTCCATGGCATTGGGGGGAGAGGCATGGATTCAGATGTGGATCACACTCTGACCTCAATGCAGCGAGTTTGATTGCAGTGATTCTGATTTTGCTAGTATTTCAAAGTGCATCGTGCATCAACATGTTTGGCCGGGAGGGATATCTCAATTTCATTGGCAACGAGTTTGCACACCCTGACTATGTGGAACTTCCGTCGCAAGACAACGGCATAGACCTGAGAAGCCTTAGTCACGCAGAACAATGCACCCTTTAAGTAAGATGTCTTATCGATCTCAAGGAGTCAAAACATATTCTGTCCAACAAAAGAGATTGGTCTAAAGAACACTGGCACGAACAGTGCTCCAAGTGAGGTTGGAGTTTCAGAAATGCAATTCGTCGCTTTGATCTTCCTGATGCTGAAGATCTTAAGTACAAGTTCTTCGAGGCCCAGGGAAGTACCAATCCGCACTCTGCCCTAGAAGATGGGAGAAGAATGGAGAAACTGGTTTAAGAACTGGCATCTAGCTGCAGCTACTTCGTCCACTTTCAGGCCTTTGATGAAGCCATGCTGGCCTTGGACAATCGCTTCCAGTGGCTGACCAAGATAGTTACAAGCCGGTGCGGGCATTCTACTGCCAACAGTAAGTGTTCTTTTTCGTTTTTTGAAGCGTAAACGCTCACACTCACGTTTTTGTTTCTACTGTGAGGTTCATGGCGTCGCCTCGCAGCTTTTGCTCCCGAAAGGAGCTCACTCTATAGCTGTACCCTGTGCGTCCCTGCACCCATGCATCGCCAGCCGAGACACTCCTGTCACTCCCGACATGAATTCTGAAATTCCGTCAGGATGACTCGGACAAGGTCATTGCTTTCGAGCATGGAGACTGTGGCTTTGCTTCAAGCTTTGCTTCAACATGCTACCATTTCCAAGCTTTTGCAAACTAAGTAAGTCCTTTTGATACTCTGTAAGTCCTTTTTAACAACTGTCTACCTTGCCTTCTCAAACCAGTTTAAGTCTAAGTGTATGTCGGACACTTGCATCAGCCTGCCCCAAGGCCTTTTTGTCTTCAACTTCCACCCATCAACTTCCTACACGGACGGCCTCACACTTGCAAGACCTGAGGTAGTGATGATGGTATCGGCTTGATCAAACAGTTCCATGCTCTTTTGATCTCTTTTGATTGCAAACTTGCTATCAAACAGTTCCATGCTCTTTTGGAAAACTTCCTCCCGAGCACAGAACATTTAGAGGCGCATAATTGATTTACGTAGATGTCCGCTTCGCACAAGCTTTGTGGGTTCTGTTCAGCTTCCCCGTGTTCCTCGAAAATCACTTGTATATCTAAATCAACATCTAAATCATTCATCCAGGACTACCGCGTGGGCCACTCCTGGAATGAGAGTTTGCGAGTTGTGCTTGGATCCTAGCATTTAGATACTTGATCATCGCTTGAGACTGCAGCAATTTCGTTACTTCATGTCTCGATTCGTTGCAACTTGTAATTATGATCCCTCAGTGACTCCCCAGGCTAGATTCCGACGCTGCATGCTTTGGTGGCCTGGGTCTCTCAACAGAGCACTCACAATCGCGCACAGAATGAACAACGATTCAACAGAAGACTGGGCCTACGTCAAAGCCAGAAGGTGATACATATACATACATTACGAAAGCCAGCCGATAGGCTAGGCTTGAGCTTTTAGGGCGAACAAAGTGAGTTTGGGGGGTGTGGGGGTGGGGTGGTCGCTGAGCAGGAACTTTTGATAGGGTGAATCCAGAGCTTGGTGGGGGAGAGCGCTCCAAAGCTGAAAAGCAGTGAACATGGGGTTTGATGTAATGGACGCCGAATAGTGCATCATTAGCATCATGAAGGGCTTTGGAGACTACTTGGACAATGGGCATAGAGGACTCGAGTGGAGACAGGGATCCACATACAGGGACCCACGTAATGAAGCGGCAGCTGGCTTTCGTCACCCTTCGTGTATATATATATATATACACTTTATACATCGACGACTTCCTTTTTGACATACACTAGACAGACATGAGGGAGTCAATGGATAGTTAGAGTTGTAGAACCAGTCGACGCTTCTTACTGCTCAGATGTCTGACAGCTGTGCTGAGAGCCGTGGAGTGAGACCTGATGTGAGTGAGGTCAGAACCGCCTGTCGCGTGAGCGATCCCTTCCACCTTTGGATGGATGGGACTCGAGGTCGCTCCGGTATTTTTGCAAAAAATGCATGTGTCAAAGGTGAGTGTGCTGTATTTCACGTCCTAGGTACCATTCGACCGAATTGTTCCTTCCAAGCAGAACGGCACAGGCATTCGGAACTCGAGTAGCTATGCCATTGGCTAGTTTGGGATTATTATACCCTTTCGCTTTTCATCATCCCGAATTGGCAGGCACCGTTCTTGACTGAAATGTTGCACACTTGTAGGTGCTTGTCCGAGAATCGCTAGTACAAGGAGGAGTGACTGTACATGCCTTGGAGGAACTCTGTTTTTTTTGAACTTTGACAATCACGAATCTGTTTTAGGTGCTCTTGGGTACCGGGCCAACTTCAGCTTGGCCCTTCCCGGCAGGACCCACTCCAAGCAAGAAGATTTGTAGTCCAAACATCCCCAAACTCCAGACATTGGACATTGAAAAGCAGTGATCTCAAACAGACAGATATCTTACATTCTGATAGGAGAGCTGCTCTTGTGGCCATCTTACACAGCTCATGGCATGTTTGAATCTATATCTGTGATTGGTTAAGCTTAGCACATGTTGTTTGAGTCCACTTGCAGCAGTTACTCGACCAACATACCCAGGGCGCCAGTGGATGCTGATGGCACCATTTCCAAGGCTTGTGCAAAAAGCAGATCTGACAAGTGAGACGTGTGCAAGAGCTTGGGTTCCACTGCGTGTTTGCGATATTTGCATTGACTGGAAGCTTTGTTTGCTCAAAGAAGAGACCTTTTGTACAAGCTTTCGAGCCTGTTCCTCGTCATGTACCGCCTTCAAGCCCAGACACCAGATTCCGACTTGGAATGCATGTTGGGTGAATCTCGAGAAGCTCCCCCACAGGAGTCTCGCAGATGCGGGTGGCAATGCGCAGCCGCAGCATTTGTCTTGGGATTGGTCATGATGGTAGCAGCCTTTGCGCTTAAGCCAGAGAAGATGACTCAGTCTTCAGTCCGGGATACTGTTGAATTGCAGATGGAGGATCCAGTGTGGAAACAGGTGCTGGGGCATAAGGCATTTGAACAGTTCAAGAAAGAATTGGATGAGAGACAGGTCTCGTCCAGCACTAGTACCAGCAGTGCCAGCAGCAGCACCAGCAGCAGCGTTAGCAGTAGCCTGAGGACGACAAAAGCCACAACAACTGCTCCATCAATGGTAGTTTCAACTGCTGCCGTCACCGCAGCTCCAACTGAGACAATCACTCTGAGTTCTGTGCCAACTGCAGTTCCCATCACGGCACCGACGACGACACCCGCACCGTCCACCACCCAAGGGCCACTGCTTTTCGGCACACAGGGCCCAAGTGCCTTGGACCAGATGGCGCAGGAGTTTATGGATGAGGCTGGCAAGCTGAACCCCGAGAGCGAAGAGCACAAGTCGCTGCAAAGTGTAGCAAAGATGCTGCATAAGATGTCGGCACCAGCGGTTGCTCACATGCATCCATTCGTTTCTATACTGTTTGATATTGTTTGTGTTTGAACTGGTATGTTTTTTTAATTTCCTTATGTCGTGCTCCATATATTCAATCCAGGTGGTTTGTCGTTGGGATCTCGCGGGTTTTGAGGTCACCGACCAGCCCTTGATTTCATCTATGCCAATGACAAGTACAACAAATTCTCAGACAAAACAGACTCAAGCATTGGGTCATGCTGCAGAGAATGCACTTGACAGCCCACTGGCACCGCATGAAGCTCTTCAGGATGGCAACAGGTGTCCAAGTACCGCGACATGATTTCGGTCGATTTGTTTTTTCAATTCACAAGCCAGCGCATGTTTAGCTACAGATTTGCTTGCTACAGCATTTAAGGTGATGAGGAGGAGTTCCCTTCTACCAAAGGCAACTGCTACAAGAAGCACCTTTGCTGCACAGCAAGCTTGTCCGGTTCGATCCAGTTTGCTGAAAGCTATGCAGACTTCCCCAGATACAGTAGCTGGCAGAATTTGTTGGCTCAGTTAGGGGTTCCTGCCATAGAGGGCTTTGATCGCAGTTTTAGCGAGCTTACGCAGCTGAAGAGCGGGTCGCGGAGCGGTATGGGGTGACCGCTCCTTGGCTCATCGCTATCTCCCGGATCTCTCAAAAGCCGATGCTTTTGCTATGGGTGCTGTCTCCAGGATCGTAGCTGTGGGTCAGACGATACACAGAACATGAAGCTAGTACAAGATATATAGTAAAAGCAAAAGCTAGTAACACATTACACTTTGAACAACACAGGAAAGCACTTGCTTGGCCTGGCGGCCAGCAGCAAAGATCGAAGAAGGAAGGGAAAGAATCAACCGGTAAACGACGCAGAGAAGACAGGCCTATTGCAGAAGTTTCTCGAACCAGTATTTCGACGTAAACAAAAGTTCTAGATTGCCAGCCAACTGTCAGTCTTTTTTGTCACATGTTACATGTTCCTTTTTCATGTTGTAAGTCCACCTTTCGCGCTTCAGTGATTGTCATGATTTGTCATAATGTGTTAGCATTCCTCACCAAGGTGCGCTGATCTCACAGGTGGTTATTATCCAATCCGTACCAGTGCGTTCTCTTGCTGTGCATCAGAACCCTGCGGCCCGCTTGATTTCCAGAACTCATATTCTTTTTCATGATCAGAAAGTGAGCATTGAAAGTCCCAGCGCAAATCCAATCTGGGTACAAAACCGAGGCACATTTTTCAACTCAAAGACACTTGGATTCGATTTTATCGTTCCACACCTCGATTCAAACTCTCTTTTAGGTGGTGCAGCACTGTAAGAGATTGCATTGGCCATATCTCAGGATTCACATTGGCTTCTGTTCAGGATTCGACATTGCAGGACCGAAATACCAACCACCTCCACTATCTTGGGGCAGACAACATTGAGCCTGCTACTTCGAAGGCTTAGGCTTAGATTTGATAGACCACACTAGGGCAGTTTCATCACCGATGACTCGTCATGTGGAGGCTGACTATGGAAGAGGTAGAGAGGGAAAACATTCGCAGCACTGAAGCACAGGTTCTTGTGTAAGTGGGGAAGCTGTTCGACTTCGTGTAATCCAAGTGTGGGTTTAGTGACGTTGGCCAATCTGCTAGCTTTTGCGTCAGGTGTTTGTCAGTGTTTGTATTTAAGGGGCGGCGGCGTATCAATCATGGGGGGCAGTGAGGACTATGGCCAGGGGCGCGGAGTGACTTGCTGTTTCGACTTGTTTAAGTCTACAGAAGAAAGCACCTGAAGCACAGTGGCCTTTCGAAGTCTTTGGGGGAGTGGTATTGATGGTAGTGCAGGAGATGCTGAAGGAGATGGTTGTCCGACCTTCGAGGCCGAAGGGGTGAACACTCGAAGACCTTTTCTTTGTACTTTTGACAAAATCCTTTTGTTTCTTTTTTGTCCTCAAAATTTCAGGAACCACATGAATAGAGTGAGCGCCTTTTCAAGGAAGCTCCCCCGCCGCCTTTAGGGCAACGGCCGGAGCTTCCTTGAAGAAGCGTGAGCTATCCTGCGTCCTAGGTAGCATCTTACTTTAGCTACTAACTACTTCTTAGCGGCCTACCCGCCCCGCCCCGAAATGGGGCCTTGTACAGTGTCACTTCCATACCATGGTTAGTGTTAGTCGTCCGTGACTCCTCTAGCCTCAAGGTAAAGGACACTTTAGCTTCGTGCGTAAAAGACACTAGCGGTCTGCTCTTCTGCGGGGGTACGCCCTAGTCACTCTTTCAGTGGTACCGGAATCAGAAGTCCTTGGAGTTCGACAAGGAGGAGAATAACGTTGTTTTTGCGTGCGTATAAAGTTGTTCTTCATGAAGCCTGGAGACTTCAGGAAGCAGTGAAGTTTTTAGAGGAAGACAACTGGTCCGCTTGTTTCAAGGATTGGAAGAACTTAGCTGTTATGGTTAGGTTAGCTCCAGGTGGTTCTGTCAAGGTGATTGCAGGCCACGATCAGAAGGTTGGAACCTGTGCACACCGCGATGTCACACGGGCTTTTTGTGAGATCAAACTTCGTCAAGCCAGAGCGCACGATGAGTTCACGGACTCCCACCTTGACTTTGATGACTATGGTCCAGAAGCAGGTCGAGTTCCTTTGGAGAGATCCGGTTTGCGAACGGTGAGAATCTCCAACTTCCATGTGGATACCGCCAGGGCCGTGAAAGCTCATGCAATAAGAGCAGAGCAGACTGCATTGATGCTCTACAAGTGCTTTACACATGAAGTAGACATCATGGCATTACTGTTGATGCAAACAGTTGCGCATACCTCATGGCCAAATCCCAGGGCCAGTCATTGTACAACTATCATTACAGATATTACAGTACCATGCAGCACTGGATTCGTTTGTTCAGTGAGGCCCGCATTAAGGCTGATGCCAACACAAAGCTGGTTGTTCCAAGGACCTGGTACGCTGTTTCTTCAATTGGCTTGACGGACTGTTAGCCATTCATTGGTCGAACTTGGGAAAGCATGGACAAGGGTGAAGAGCCCGTTTTTGCAAATTGGGTGATGGGTGACTGATGCGAAACCATTCTTTTGGAATGGGGTCACAATTTCTCGGACATCGTGTGGTCTAGCTCTCACAGACCACAGCCGAGTGTCAACTGCTTGTTCTTTTGACATAAGGGTGAGTAAGATATCGCTCCCGTTCTGTACTTTTAAATTTTGAGACTTCTTGTCAGTGCTTGACGCTGGACTTGTAGGTATCTGGCACCTTGGTACTTGTGACGGTTTGTAGATCCTGCTGGACTGTCGACTTGGCCTAGAAAGGAGAAAAAGCAGCGACATAGCGGACATAGCGCTCCATGGTGGGTGTGACTTATGAATTGCGCCTGCTGAAATGGGGCTTGGACAGCGTCACTTCCATGTTAGTTGTCTGTGACTCCTCTAGCCTCAAGGTAAAGGAGGACACTTTAGCTTCGCGCGCAAAAGGCACTACTGTATATACAGCGGTCTACTGTCTACTCTTCTGCGGGGTGCGGGTGCGCCCTAGTCACTCTTTCACCCCCGGAAAAAACACGAAACACACAGCACACACAGGTATATATATATACATATTTACATATTGTTTATTTATTATATATGTATATTTTTTAAATATGCATTATATATAGTTATGTGTATTATATATATACACGTGATTTTTCGTGATATCAAATTCTAATAGTTCCAATCGGGACCCCCTGAGAAGGTTGAGTCACTGAGTCGTGAAGTTCCTGGAACACAGCAGTTGGGATCTTTTGTGAAGATGTATTGATGTTTGCTTCCTGCAGGGTGCCTGTCTTGTCGATGAGGAGAACTTTGGCGGCCTTTGCTACAAGAAGTGCTTCCCTCCGAAAGATGCAGTCAACCGGTGTAGTTGGTTGTTTGATGTGGATGCGCAGAGCGGTTCACAACATGATTCCTTGGTACTCTGTAGCTGCAGTCTATCCTGCGAACAAGCACATCAAAGGTTTGGTTTGATTTTGTTTTTTGCCAACAGGTGCTCTTTGTTCCCGGATGGTCAGACCTACAGCCACCGTGTTGCTCCGAACATTTGCTGCAGCACCCATGGGCGTCTTGGTGAAAAATTTTGTGTTGTTACATGTTGTTACACTATGTGCAAAAACTGGGCAATTCGAACCCTTCGGAAACACGAAACCTTGCCAAAAACCTGCAGATGCATGGGTCGTGTATTTTGAATGATACTTATAGATCGAAAACCTGTGCTAGTCAGGAACCGCTGTCAGCATGCCGAGGTTCATGTGTATGCTGCCGAAGTACTTCAAATTCAGCACGGACTTCGCAGTAGGTGGTGGCGAAGGAGACGGCAATTCGCAAACACCGGTGCCAGCCTCATTTATTTGCAAACACGACATGTGCCTGTGCCAGCGCAACTAACGGTGCAGCTACTGCGTCCTTCAGGCGCAGCCGCACCCACCTATGAAGGAGCTTACGGAGATGGATGCATGAAGCGTATTCTGCAGCACAGATGCAGACTGTAATTACTTTTTTGCAATTCATTCTCTGCAACCATTGCATCCTCTCTTGAGCAAAAAGAAAGAATAAGTCTACTTTATGATCCATCAAGTTTGCATGTTTGTAGTGTGCATGGTCAACGGTCCTTGGTTTTTGCTCTCTGATCATATCATTCGGCTGAAGGGCTTTGGGCGAGGCTCCAGTCCACAAGCCATTTGTACAATAATTCGCTGAGTACCGGCAACAGTACGGAAGCAGCGTCTCTCTGAACGGCATTGTTTGCATTTGAGATACATCACTGAAGCATGCTGAAGATAGGTTTCAATTCATGCGGACGGAAGCAATCAAATCTGGGCACAGGCGTTGAACTTTACGACCTCCCAGGGAAGGCTGTCTGTGAAATTGCCTGGTCCCACTGCTTTTAAGGCAGGCAGGTTTGCTGTTTATTCCCTTGTGAGGTGTTGCAATTCCTTCCCATGAAAGGTCTACTGGGAGGTGCAAAAGGGTGGCGTGACAAGGGGGTCTCGCCTGCGAAATCAAGGGGCCACGAAGGCACGCAGCTTTGCAACTCAAATCGTAGATGCTATACAGTTGACTGATATTCGGTATTAGCATGTTCATGAGTTTGTCCTTTGAAGGTGAAGCTCCCGTTTGCTTTGGAGACCTTCCGGGTCTACTTTCCTGGCACTTATGTCCTTGACCATTTAGGAAATTTGAAATGTGCTTCGAGCTTGGAAACAGCTGTAGCATGCAAGATTAACAGCATAGTCTTTGATATTTTGTGATTTTTGGGCTCCTGCATTGGGCAAGGTTGGCGACGCCACGGACGAGGCATTGGCATGATCTGCCGATTACTATCGACAGACATATATACACCAGGGGGAACAAGAAAAGCCAGATGACACCAATTGAAGACAATTGAAACGACACTAAGGGTGACATTGTTTGACAAGAGCAACAGAGCGTTGACCAGGGCGATGGAGTGCCTCAAGGGTGCAAAGACGCACCCACCTGCCTGAGCAGACCCCAGTATGTTCGACACCTGGTGAAGCGACACCGATATGGAATGTGGTTGCGTACCATGCTAGTAGCGTCCTTGCTCCTAGTGGTAAGGCCAGGAGCCCCTAGTAGCTTCTTGTTACTAGTAGCGATGCCAGGAGCCCCTAGTAGCATCCTTGCTCCTGGAAACAAGCAAACGCACACTGCCACATAGCCATAGTCATTCAGGTTCGAGCAAAGTCCCAGAAGCTTTTGGCACCGTCCGAAATGCCAGAGGACCAACAGCTTTCCACTTTTGCACTTTCCTGAAGACTTTGACAAACCATGACAGACCAAGAAAATCGGATCTGTTCAAAGCACGAAAAGCCGGCACTTGCTTCTTGTAAATTCCAATCGCTGCTGTAGCTGTCGTTTTGTCATGTTTTGTCTAGGTACAATTTCTCTCAACACTATTTCACATTTTGATGCGAAGGAAGATCTGAAGTTTTTTTTGCGTCCAGCTACTACTGTAGCTCCTTACACCACTTCTTGCAACAATTTACAACATCCTCAATACCTAGCTAACCTTAGCCAACAATCTTTCTCAACGCCTGCCCACCAAAAAGGACAATCTCATCACTCTGTACTATGTGTTTGATTATATAATATTATATATATATATATTTGACATTGGTTCTCCTTTGTTTTTGTCCTCCTCCCGAATGTGTAGTGAAGAGTTCTCGTTTATCTCTGGGGGTCTGGGGGTAGAGCCCTGTTTGCGTGATGTTGCTTTCATGTCCGCATTTGGGGGACGTTTTTGGAGGAGGTCTTGGATGGACGCATCAAGTGTTCGATTCGTTTGAAACATCGTCGAAGCCTGGCCTATCATGCTCAAGTGTGAAGGAGGACTTTGCTGCCCAGGTGCAGTGTTTTGTGAGGTCAGCACTTTGCGTTGCCCTGCGGGATTGGCGTTCTCAGGGTGATCCTTTGGAGGTGTCGAGAGGTGCTTGAGTCGAAGCTGTGCTTTGGTGAAAGTCGCACGTAGGTAGAGTTGCAACTCGAGGGATCTGGGTGAAGCAGCAATGTGTCGAAATCATTCCAAGCGTGTGGCGCGGTGCAAATCCTGCTAGACACGTCAATTCGTGGCATAGTCGCAGTCATGTTTCGTGGCAGGTGGGGTGCTTTGTGCGTGTTGGAGGTACTGGGCGGCAGTTTGCGCGGGCAGGTGTAAGGAATCGCGCGGTTGCGATGATTGGTGCAGGTGAATGTTGCTGTGCCACTCGGATTGGCGTGTTAGTGGCTGCTCTATGCTGCTTTCTCGGTTGGCTGTGTGCCGTGCTCGCGCAGATGACACTTCCTGCTTCACTTGGATGAAGTTTCGTGCGAAAGAAGGCCTGACGCATCACTTGGAAGATGTCTCGTAACAAATGCTCGTTTTGAAGATTTTTGAAGACTTGACGCGTCGGTTTTGGAGGAAGCTCCTTCGATTGA